GCATGTGGTGCTGGGGGATTGAACCGCGGTCCCCAATGCTTTGCCAAGCTTGTTCTAAGTAGGTGCTTTAGACCACTGAGCCATCTCTCCAGCCCCAGACTTCTTATCTTATTATTTTAATTTTCTTTTATTTTGAAGAGTAGAAACAAAAGCAAAGACAGAAACAGGATAAATATAATAATACATACATTATAGATTTTCAAAACAAGAATAGATGATTAACAGATTGATATATTATCTATTTTTATCATCAAATCTGCTGCTCAGATTAGCAGATATAGTTATACAAGATGGGAAATATGATTGAATATTACATGCTTTCAAGAAGTCTTAATTTTTTTCTTGTCTCTCAATTACTTTTATTACCTCTTTAAAAATACTTTAAAGAGAGTATAGTACTAATTGATATTACATTAGAAACAGTATAAATTTGAAGACCAAAATGACAGGTATTTCAAGCATCATTTTAGTATTACACATTGCTGTCCTCAGTGTAGTTGCTTAGTGCACAGATATCAGCATATATAGTTAGTCAGGTGAGAATTCTACCCATTAACTGCTATTTTCAAAAACCTGATGGAAATTCTTAGTACTGTTGCCTTTTTCATCTTGTATAAATAAATGTATGGTTTTGCCCCTACCTTATTTCTTAACTTTTCTCCTTTCTCTGTCTTCGTTGTTTAATCTTCAAGTTCTCTTTCTTTCCATTTAACTGTGTTGTACCTTTCAGTTTTTATTTCTTCTTTTGAGTTCCTACACTAGGGAGACAATACAATATTTACACATGTGGGTCTGATTTATTTCACTTATGAGTATAGCTTCAAGTTGCATCCACTTACCTAGAAAGCTTCAATTTTTTTTTTTTGCAGTTTCTCATTACATAGTCCAGACTGACCTTGAACTTGCTCAGGTAGGAGACTGGAAATGAACTCATGGTAATCCTCCTGTCTCAACCTCATGACTTTTGGGGTTGCAGGCATGCACCACCTTGTCCAGCCCCATTAAGCTTCTTGATCAGTTAGTTTTTCACTAATTTCATAAGTCTGATAGGATTTACTTTAAATGCAAAAATATTAAATATGAATGATACATAGTGCAAAATACCTTGTATAAAATTAAATATATTAGGTTTAAAGTGCCTGCTTAGGCAAATGCAGGGACCTGGGTTCAATTCCCAGTGTGCCGTGCCTGCCCCACCCCCGGGGCTCGCTGAGATGGCCATTGATACTGGGTGTGGTGGTGCGCACCTGTAATCTCAGCTCTTTGGGAGGCTGAACACAGGTGGATCACTACAATTCTGGTCTAGTAGTGAGACCCTGAACACCGTGTAGCCCCTTACCAAAAATATATATATATGTTAGACTCCACGGTTCCTCTTTCATTTTCTGATAATTATGTACTACTGTGGTAATTGTGAAATAACTTTAAATTATATAAATAAATTAATTTAATGTATTTAATGAATCCATATTTATTTTTTTTTTGTATTTAGGACAGAGTGTACAGGATCTCACTGCATAGATCGGATTAGTAGTGATCCTCCTGTTTACAGCCTTCCAAGTGCTAGGATTATAGGTGCACACCACCACGTACAGTCTCAATGGCCATCTCAACATGCCCCGGGGGGCGAGTATGGCACGGCAGGCCTGGGGATTGAATTCCTGGCCCCTGCATCTGCCTAAGCAGGTGCTTTAATACGTTGAACTATTTGGCTAGCCCTATTGCATTCATATCTAAAATTATACTTGAATGCTTATTTATAAATATTGTCAGAATCTATTCTTTATTTTTATTTTTTTCCTGTTTACTAAAGCAAAGCTAAAATTATAGCAATTAGTAGGGTATTTTTCAGTTGTTATATTTTGCTTTGCAGATTTTAAATTAGTTTTAATGATTCAGTTTGTCTATTAGGTGCTGTTTGTTTGTTTGTTTGTTTGGCAGAACCAGGGATCGAACTCAGGCCCTTGCGCTTGCCAGGGAAGCGCTTATTTCACTGAGCCATCTCCCCAGTCCTAGGTTTTTAAAAATATTTTTATGACCTGCATTTAATGTGATTTCATTTATTTGTTATTTTTTTAAAGAATAAAAAATGGTGATAGAAAAAGAAAAGCATTAGAAATGATACAAAATTTCACTAAAGTAGTAGGAATTCAACAATAGTTGCTGTATTGCATGATTCTATCTTCAAGTTAGTTGTTCAGGTTACCAGATATAAATGTGCAAGACTGGTTTAAAGAAAATAACAAAACAATAAAAATAACAGGAAAGTTGTAAATAATTCAAAACAAAGTGAAAAAGAATACAAAGAAAAAGATTTAGATTAATTGGTCCTTTCAAAAGACCAGCAGAAATTGGAAGAAAAATTATCTAAGCTATTCTGCGTATATACCTAAAGTAATTTCCTTTTTAATATTCATTTTTTTGTGTTACCTGCACTTAGGTTTTCTTTTCTCAATAAGAGCTTGGAAGTGAAGTGTGCTTTGGTACAAATGCTCCAGTAGTGTGTGTGTAAAACCTTGCATACTTGGAGGTAATGAAATAGGTGCTTTGTGTAGTGAAAACTAATAGAAACAACTGCTAATCAAGGAGATAAGTGTGTCCAGGAAAAAAGTAGTTTTACACTCTTGTTGATGCTGTATATTTATTTGTAGAATACAATGAAAATATTTTATTATAAAGGAAAAATCATTTTCCCTGAGTATACACCCAGTAGTGAAGTTACTGGATCAAATAGTAGTTCTATTTTTAACATTTTGAAGACTTTCCATACAAGTTTCTATAATTGCTGTACTAATTGATATTGTTACCAATAATTTGCAAGGGTTTTGTTTTTCTCCACATGTTGCCAGCAATCATATTCCTGAGGATATCTCCAAGGCAGTCAAATCAGTATGTCAATGAGACATTTGCATTCTCCCATTCATTATAGCTCTATTCCAATAACCAGGAAATAGAAACCACCAAAGTGTCCATTGATTGATGAACAGATAAATATAATATGTTACATATATAGAAAATGAATACTATTTAGCTATAAGAAATGAAATATTGTCCTTTGCAACATGAATGGAATAGGAGATCATTATGTTAAGTAAAATAAGCCAGGCATAGAAAGACAGTATGACATGGACTTATTCATATGTAGAATCTAAAAATCTGATTTCATATAATTTAAGAGCAGAATGGTAGGTTACCAGGGATACCAGAGGGTAAGGTAACACAAACATGTTCTATGCTAGCAATGAAAGGGGGAGATTGATTAAGGCATATTAAGTTACTGTTAGGTAGAAGCAAGAACCTTTAGTGTGCTATTGCATAGTATGGTCATTATAGATAAAAGTAATGTACTATATATTCCAAAAAGGAGAAATAATTTTGAAATTTTCATCATAAAGAAATAAATGCTTGAGAAAATAGATGTTCAATCTTGCTTAATCACTGCACAATGTATCCATATATCAAAACAACACACAGTGTTCTCATTAACATGCACATTTTATGCTTTTATTTACAAATTATGAATAAAAGCAAAATTAGTTTAAATGGAAAAAGAAAGTTGAAAGCTCAGTAATTCTCAATAACAGGATGGAGGAAGATAGGAGGGAGGGAAGTGAGTGTAATGAAGATGGGATATGTGTATATTCCAACTCTGCATGAGTGTATGTATTATGTACCACAAACATGTACTATGTTAGTAATAGAAAAGGAAAAGAAAAAGAGGCTTCATGGTGAAATATTTCTTATTTATTTTACTTCCAGTTTGCTATATCAGAAAGTATTTTATTGAAATATACTGTACATTGAACAAGTGTTCATATATACTATAAATATATGGAAGTATTAATTTTGGTAGAATTTATTTAAAGACAAATTATATGTGCTTCATTTAATTTGGTTAACATCTGGATTGGTATTTAATTATTTTCTTTTTTGTATTTTCATTTTAATTGTTTTGAAAATTATTTATTAGGAATTGAATCAAATTGCTAATCATTTGTACAGTTTAGTCATTAGTTTTCTTCATTTTTTACTTTCATAGGCAATTTTAATTTGGTCATTGGTCACGTTTAATAATCCTGAGTATGCTGGCATTCCATACCCTACCTGGGCCATTGTCCTTGGATGGTGCATGATTATATTTTGTATTATTTGGATTCCAATTATGGCTGTCACACAAATAACTCTGGCCAATGGAACTATCTGTCAAGTAAGAAATTAAATTTTTAGTGGTATGTAAAAGTACTTTTGATAAAAATGAAGATGATTTTACTTACATGGCAGTAATATGAGATTATATGAGATCGAATTAATCAGCCTTTCCTCTGCCTACTTCTATACTAGATATAATCATCAGCTACTAATGCATAACTTTATTTTCTATATGTATACGTGTGTCTCCTGGTATTATGCTATATGCTCCTTTTGAAAGGAGCCTGGTCTGGTTTGTTGCTGTATCTGAAGGCTCTATTATAGTGCTTAGAGTGTAAGTTAGGTCTTTGTATTTGTACTGAGTTGTCCTTGAAAGTCTCACAAATCAATGAGCCTTTTGATATATATATATATATATATATATATATATATATATATATATATATATAGATAGATATAGATATCTATATGTATTCATGCTTCACTTGTAATGCCTCATCTGTTTATAAGTCCTAATGATGTGTCCAAGTCCTAATAGTGTGTTTAGTTCTAATGATGCATCCAAGTCCTAATAATGTGTTTAGTTTGGTTTATTTTTTGGTTTTGGTGCTGAGGACCACACCCAGGGCTTCCAGCTTTCAAGACAAGCATTCTAACACTAAGCTAAATCTCCAGCTCCAGTGTGTTTAGATTGGAATGACATAGATAAATACTAGTAATTCTTCCTTCATAGAGTCTTATAGAGGTGGAGTTTATTATGACTTCTTGCTAGAAAAATGACAAAGTAGGCTCAGGAGATTTTTATTAAAATACATTCCTAACTCCAAGGAAGAATGGACTTAAATCAGTGGTTTGGCCTACTGAAGAAGGGATTTAAATGGAAATTTCACACTGGATCTCCCTTTCTCTGGTTCTAAAACACATCCCACTACCACTAATTTAAATCCTCACCTCACTCTCACCATAAATGTTTGAGAGTACAGTGAAGGTACCTATGGGGACACTGTTACTCTAATGGGTTCATATGCCTCCTTCTGAAATAATTTACATCCACAGTCATTGTGATAGAGTAATACAATTCTACTGAGAATTAATTAGGAATGATTTATTTGATTAAAATTTCTTCTGAGTAGACTATGTCTTACTAAGAATTAATCTTTGCTTTTTACTGTTCTGTGATTCTTAGTTTAATGTTGTCATGAAAGAAACCTAAAACTTTAATATGAGAGTATAATTCAGTATTGAATGGTTTATAGATTATAACACTTAAATTAATAAGAAAATTATTTTTCACTTTAAATTTTAGCGCATTGTGAGCTGCATCAGACCAGCTTCTACCTGGGGTCCATACTTGGAACAACATCGTGGGGAAAGATATAAAGACATGGTAGGGCCTGATAGAATACCTACTGACCATGAGATACCGACTATTACTGCTATTACGCACTCAAAATGAAACATAATTTTAAACAGTATGGGTTTGTTGTATAATGTGATTTTTTTTCGAATAGTGGAAAGTTGTATTTATTTGTTTGTTGAGTAGAAAAATGAGCACTCTATTTCCTCAGTATGTCAGGTGTTTTTCCCACTTAAGCAGGAATGTAATATGAAATGTGAATTCATTAATGTTTAGCAACAATGTTATTATATTTCTTTTAAGATTAGTTATCTGTACAACACACACATAACTATTTCACAATAAAAATTTTAATGCCATAAAGCTTTACTAATATATTGAAACTTTGCTTGAACTGATTACTTACAAAACAGTTTTTTTTTGGGGGGGGTTGAGAGATAGCTCAGTGGTCTAAGTACCTGCCTGGCAAGTGCAAGGACCTGGGTTCGATCCCCGGTACCACATGCAATGCTGGCCCCATGCCATGACCACCACCAAAACCAGGCATGGTGGTACACCCTGGAATCCCAGCACTGGGGAACCTGAGACAGGAGGATTACTATGAGTTTGAGCTGTGTAGCAAGACTGTACAAAATGAATAAATAAATGATTTTTTAAAACAGAAAATATTTTTTTACTATGCAAGTTTGAAAAGTATTATTCAATTCTCTTTTGTTAAGGCACAGTCTGCATGCTTTCTCAAGCTGAAGGAAAATGCATCAGTGTATGTAAAAATAAGTGTTGCAAAGTCAAGATATTAGTTACTTGGAAATGTTTATGGAACTAAATGCACTGTGTATATGAGTGATATAGTTTAATGCTTTTGACAGAAATATTTCTGAAAATTTCATGCATTGGTGACGTATTTCTTTGTGAGTCATGCTCTTTATTTACAGACCTAACAGCAATGTTCTTTATTGACAAAGACTGAAATCATAAAGGAAATAAAGAACCTTTAACAAGGCATAAATCTAGAAAATGAAATAAAGTTTTCAAGTTTTGAACACTTATTTCTTTATATTACTGTCTTCTTTCTTTAGGTTATGTGCTGAAGAATGTTACCATACAACTAACTTAATTTGTGTTTCACAAAATTAATACTTCATTATATTCTATAAACTTTAGTTTTAATTTCGTGCAGGATAATAAAATGTTAATGAGATAATGGCTTTCTTTTTATAAGTACTTTACGATGGTGATATAAGATGACAGGTCAAGAAAAGTGATTTTGTCTTATGTGAGTTATGGCTTATGGGTGATCGCTTATTTACATCCTAGTAGGAAATAAAGTTGCAGACTTGTAAAAAATGAAGGTCTTATGACTTACTTTGCTCACAGATAATACTGTAATATATAACTAATAGCTTTACACTTATTTATATATCACTGACATTTGGCTCAAATATCATAACCTACAGTGATAAATATTGTGTAAATATATAAGGAATATTTTTATAATTCATACAGTTCTTAACCTAGGCTTCCAGGAATTAAAACATTAATATTATATGTAAGATGTTCTATTTGTGTATGTACATACATTTTTAGGGAGTGCGTCTACAGTCTAATGCCCATGCCAAATGATCATGTAACTCAAAAACACCTAGAACTACATGGATTACAGCTGTGCTTGGCACGGAAAAGTAGGAGGAAAGATTTTTCTTCTATTTTAAATTGTGTTTTCTCTTCATGTTGATCAAACATTAAAAGAGTAAAGATTCAGGCATTTAAAACTTTTATTTGAAAAAGAAATCCTGAATGTACATAAACATGAAATATGTATATGTACCTAAGATAAAGTCATATGTGACAATTTTATGTTTTTTATAGAATAGGTCAAATATTGTTAGTGGACTTCAAAAAATCTTATTTGAAAGAGATGATTGACTAGAAGGTCAAAATACTTTACATAATTTTAAGCTATATTGCACTTATAAGCATTCTATCCCTCGATTTTGGTGCTCTTTGAGATGTGAACTTTTCCCCAAATAAAAAAGAACATTCCATGTAGTTGACTCTGACCATAGGGAGAACATAGGCACATTTTTTAAAAGTATTTTTCCCATAATTTTATTGATAAACAAATAGCAGTGAGACAGTTTCAAATCAAATTGGTAGGACAGTTTCAATAATTAACACATTGCATACATCCTTCCTAGTGGTTAATTGCTGTACAAGATGCGGACATGATATCCTATTTACAAACACCATTAGAACAAATCACTCTATTCATTAAGAGAATGTAACTATATAACTATCCTAACCACTTTGAATACACAGATACAAAATGGACATTCATCCGTATACCCTTTTTTTGTTAAGTTCCGTTATTTGAATATTATAGGTGTGTAAACTCAAAAAAATATTCTAAAAGAGCCCAGTAGCCCATAATAGTATTGAGTCTTCTGCTTGACTGGAAATGTCAGAAATTGTTGACCTGAATCCCTACAGCTCAACATAACAGCATGGCTTTACTTCTTATATCTCGTTTTTATACTTTTCGGCTGGATGGTTAAGACCAAGGAAAAGCAGGACCTATGCAACAAGAGTTGTAGCTTTTGGGTCTGATAAGGTCAGTGAAATCCCCTCAGGATTTATCCTGAGATTGTGTACCTCAGATTGTAGAACCTTTGTCAGTGTCAGCCATGTGGATGAGTCACGGCATAGGCACATTTTAAATGAAAGAGTATCTAGTTAGGAGAGAAGATATATAGTGTAGAAGCAATCCTTTCCAAAAGGTCACCAAAAGAGTAGTTTGGGTCCCTATTTTTACAGGTGTGAACAACATAAATTTTATGGAGTGCTTGTCATACCGTAGGCTGCCTAATGATAGCTCTTAGGGCAGTGACGCTGAATGATAGCTCTTAGGGTAGTGACACGGATTGCACAGTTGCAACCAAGCACATCCTGTGTAATAGAAGTTCCATGCAACTCCACTTACTCTAATGCAGACTTGGAGACAACAATTGCAAAGCATGGGAGAAGTTGTTTTTCACTTAACCAGATTTGAAGAAAATTGCAGTATTATACTGTAAGCCATAAAGAAATTGTTTTCCAATTGAATAAAATTATAATCACAGAAAGAGAATTATAAAAGAAATTGTTTTACATTTGAATGAAATTATAATCACAGAAAGAGAAAAAAAAATTTTTTTGGGCTGGCTTGAAATGCCTTCAGGGCATGTTTGGCTGGCTGGTGCTGTGGGGATCCAAACACAGCAACCTGAGGCTGACTGCTTTGTTGAAGCAGCCACTTAAACAACTGAGCTAAGGGGCAGGCCCCCCAGAAAGGGAATTATAATTGCCATATATTTTTACTGTTTTTTTTTGTTTAAAATGTTTTAACTGGTTTTTTATATATTGTTTGTATTCTTTCCTCAGTAAAATATATATTAGCAACACCAAGTAATCAATTATTTAAATAAAATGTGACCAACAAATCAAGAAATGTCTACATTTTGTATCTGATTTGACATCCCTTCCCCCTTTTAAATAATTCATTCAATATAAACACACATTCAACTGAATCCACTCAATTGCCTTTAATCATTGCCTGTATCAACATCGCATCTTTCTTTGGTGGATTTCATATGGACCAATGAATGATTGAAATCCTTGACAATTGTCAAGCGTTCCAAATCAACCAGCTTGTACTTCACAACCCTGAACTTTACCAGCATTGGCTTCTGAGTGGCTGCTGAGTGTGGGCAATTATTTAAGATATCACCAGAAAGGTTATTGCCTGAAAAACTATCAGTAGTGCTCCTAGGGGACCAAGGAGGAGGGGGTGTTCTTCCTGAACCAAAAGTCTTGGGTGACCAGGTAGCATTTGTTCTTACTGGAGCGAAGTCAGATGAATTTGATGTCATTTCACCAACGTTTTTCTATAAAGAAAATTATACATATACATTTTTTGAGTTTAGCGATTTCCAAATACTACCAAATAACAACCTGCTTACAAAAATGAAGTAATTTTTCCTAAGAACAGGAGATTAAGGATATGAATAACTATGCTGATTCAGAAGTATACTCTGCCAATACACAAAAATGAGAAAAAAAATATGAAAGTAGCCTCGCAGTACCAAAGTGCCATGCACATGCTTGAGCCGTCCAGTAATTCTACATGTGGACCTTGTCTTTAACCCTTCTGTGAAAGAATTTCACTAGCACCTATAAAAATGCCAGGATACATACATTTCGACCTGAAATATTTGTGAGCACTGCATTCAGAAAGCTTTCACTACAGCGGCAGGAGAACCAAACAGGGACGTGGGCGGAACAAGTGAAGGGAGAGAGCAACGAGATGTTCTTAAAATGGATGTGATGGTGGGCAATGGGTCCTTTAGGCTGTACTTTTTGCTCCGCTTGGACGAAGAGCTTTCCCTATCACTTAGTGACTTGGGACTCTTTTACAAGAGACCACAACTCTGAAATCTCTGGTAAAAGTGCGGATCTAAGGGGAAGAGTACAGTAGCTAAAGCCTGGTGCTTTCAAAAGAAAAATATAAGGGCATATTATTGATTTACTATTGTCCCATCATCCCACAAACTCACTCCTCAAATCTGCACATTCAACTAGCTGCATGTAATTCCAGTCTCTCTTACCTTTGCCTGAAATCGTTTTTTCCAGAAGACAACCATGAAGACAAAAACAGCTCCACTCACTAGGAACAAAAAAATGGTCATGGTTCCTCGTCTCTTCCCTTTTCTTCGGACCGAGGTTATGGGCTTATCATTGGGAGGTAGGGGCCTTTAGCCCCCTTAGAATGAGGAAGGCGCACGCCAGTGTACTGGGTGGCCCTTAATGTCCAGTGCAACTGGGATTGCTCAAAAGAGCTGGGATTTAGGGCTTTATAGAGAGGAGACTGCATGTGACCTCATAGTTGCTTATGCAGCAAGGGGCATTGTGACCCAATTTGTGAAGAAGAACAGGGCTGCCCTTAGTAACCTCCCACCTGGTTTCTTACTACGTCAGACTTTTTGAGAAGAGGGTTAAGAGATGCTGAAGGAATTTGTTATTCCCATGCAGCTGAACTACTTAGAAGTCCAGACTGCAAACAGATTGCCTAGATGCATGATTTTTTTTCAAAATATTATTGATAAACAGATAGCAATGAGACAGTTTCAAATCAAATCGGAAGTACAGTTTCAACAAATAATACACTGCATATATTCTTCTTAGTGGTTAAT